GGCTGAATTGCACAAAACGCATGATCGCACCGGCTAGTCTGGTGCGCGTTGCCATTTATTATTCTTACTTTTATCTTTCTACGACCTTTTCCATAAATATAAAATATCTAAATTTAAACTACTATAAAAAAACTCTTCCCGGAGCGGAAATGCAGAGGAATTAACTACAGTCGAGTTTCTCTTCGAGAACTGATTTTAACTATTCCTCGACAGTTTTAGTCTTCGCAAATGACACATCCTTGAAGGCAGAACTTAAACGAACCCCCAAATCGTCTAAATTTATGTTCCTAGTAATGCTAGCAATAACAATGAAAATTTCATATTAGCATGAACGTAAGTTAATGGTGTGGTCCATATATGCAGTTATTTCTAGTAATTTTAGCGCAAAAGCTGAGCGGAGAGACAGAGGCCAATGCAGAGCACATGATGACATCAAAAGCGGATATTTTAAACAAACGACCAAATGCTCCAGCATAATCATTCACAAACTGCACGCTGCAAGTGGTTTCTGACGTTTCAGTTTGTCTGATAACTTGCATATCAACGACTCTACAGCTGGCACTGGCCAGTGAAGCTTAAACCTAGCCGTCCTGTGTGGCTGTCTAGACAGCTGTCACTAAAACGCCGCAGTGAAGTCGGGGATGGTCAAATTTCGTGGTGAATCACAGCAATAATATACGGAGACCGATGTGACTGCTGAGAAAGAAACCTTCATAAGGATGAACGTTACATCCATTTGCAAGTCGTGTGCTTCCCCGCATATTCAACATAAATGAGCACGAGCCAACGGCTTCAACCAGAGCGTCAGCAAAGTTGGCCAGTCGCGGACAATTCTCAATCAGAATATACCTGTCCTGGCGATTTGTGAAGTAGGTGTTGGAGAGGTTAGCTCTAAAAACACAGACTTCTCACAATCAATTTTGCTTTTCTGAGCGCATGCAGAGAAATTTTCCCACGAAACTCATGGTTTTATTCACAGTCCACAGTGATCTCCAAAAGATCGAATTTCGTAGAAGCAAAAACAGCTTTAACTCTGAATAAACTTTACCCGGTAATGATAACATGATTGTCGAAAATAAGAAGTTTCATATGCTGCAGGCCAATCACTTCGTTCACCCGTTCAGGCAACAGCAATCTCCCCAAACCACGCAAGTAGGGAGTGTGAAAGAGATAAACAGATGCACGAGGAACAAGCCTAAAATCCAAATCCGATTAGTTTTTAACCTGGACATTTTTACAGCTACTAGAAATGCTCTGCAGGTCAGAGATGAAGCAGACCATAACGAACAGCACTAC